GGGATCGACATTAATACGAAATTCGTAGGCAATTGACTAGGAAATGACTAAATGTGGCCGCGTTTTAGGCACCTGTCGAAGTTTACTAAAAAGCATAATTACTGTTTAGTTTGTAATCATGTCAATTCAAGGTAGTAGGCACATGCGTGAAAAAAATATTATAAGATGGAATGAATGTCAATGGTTCAGCAGAAAGAATAAACTGCGTTCATTTCTCGATTGAGCAACATTTCCTATTTTGGGGTCTTGGTATGTTGGTACAGCGACACAAACGACGCTGGTACAAAAAACATTTATCATGTGATTTCACGAGCAACTTACTCATACGTGCGCCCTTAACGACTTAATGAACAACGTGCATTTTCGGATTTCATCGAAAGAACCCGCTTGCTGTGTATTTAACATATCAGACACCAATGTGGAGCCAAATGGCATTGGTTTTTATCGCAACACGTGACCTGGCTAATTACAGCGTTTAAAGGTTTCCTCTGTAGTCAGTATTTTGACAGTTGCTGAGCGACGTTTTCTGCTTCTAAAAGACCTCTACGCTGTCATCTGGAGAATGAGTTAAACACGTTAGGACTGAGAAATACAACAAGGCGTGAAGGAGAAAATCCTCAAAAACCTGTTGTTTTTTTCTGCTGCGACATTTGATCGAATTTAGCTGGCTTCAAGGCACACGCTTGTCAGCTAAGGCGCGACACTCAGTAAGGGTATTTGCAGTAGCTGGCCTAGCTTATGAAGTGCAAATTTGAACTCTGAACGGTGCCTTTAATTAGGATAGATAACTTAGCTCGGGTTGTGATACTGGTTATCGCGTAGAGTAGTCAAAAAATACTTCAGCCACGCAAAGATTTCCTTTAAAAGAATTTCTCTGCCGCCTGCGAAAACCACGCTCGACGATAAATGGCTACTTATGTAGCAGAAATTTTTCCAATTAATTTTAGGTGTTCTCAAAAATTTAAGCATATTTTAAAGAAGACATACGCAATGGTATCCTTAATTTTACGCAGTAAGTAGTAAATTGCGTGCACTTTGCGTTTTATATGAGAAGTTAGGGTGAATTTTGGTTTCATAAAACCTTTTTCAGTTCCCATATAATTTTTAACCGAACTTGAGGCATCTCTTACTCTTAAGGTTTGAAACCTCTATGCTGAATTCTTTTCGCTTAAGAAAAATCACATTTCTTTCTACTTTTAAGAATATGTCACATAGGTCTCACAACACTCCACAATGAATGTGGACTACGCTGCAGACTTCATGAGCATCACCATTAAACGTATGCTATGTAAATGACCATGTCACGGCCTCGAAAGTTCTCATAATTAAAATCCTTTTTAAAACTAAAATATGCCTATTTTTCAAATGCCAAATTCAAAGATGACGTAATTGTCTACAGCAGGAGTACAGGAACGAATACTCTAGGCACGGTTTTTACAAAATATATTTGAATTAAAAGGGGCGCCTAAATTCAGTGGACAGATTCACCCTACTCATGCAGCGATTTTTACTGACTGTGGTTTAAGAAGGCGACCAGAAGAAAACACATTCAAATCCGACATCCTGGCACGATAGAAATACCCTGCAATTACATTGCACGACGATTCACAATGCAACCTCGCCAACGTTATCCTTTCCCTCAGTTAGGATTTCATGAGATAGGTCAGCAGCTGTATGCTTCCGATCAGTACCAGTGAACGAAAAATAAACAACAGACAGACGCCTGTAACTTTCTTGCCCATTTTGTCTAGCCGCTCGTGAACAGGCCTACGCAAAGTGTTAGAGCTATGCAATCTGTGGGTTGATGTGGTTTTTGTCTACCAGGCTGCAATAACAGGAAATAAAGAGTAAGATGAAACGACTGAAATGGTAAAGAAATGTGCTCGAGCACTTGCGTTTACAAATCAGAGTAGGGGCCATTTTGCTGTGGATGTGAAACAACCTGAAAAACTCTGTAAGTTGCATTTGTTGCATTACATACTGCCTTGTCCCAGTTCCTTTAATTCACCCACCGGTAGAGGCACACCCTCTATCGTGACCATAACTTTGTGGGGGGGGGGGTGGACGTGGTAGCTCCGGAAAATCGTTAACCGTTTGTACACTGAAATCCACTGAAAAATTATCACTCGTTAGAATTTGAAGTGCTCACTTTAAAATTGTGGTAAATGGAAGTGAGTGCAAAGGTCGGAAGCGGTTAATAGAAGATTCTTTAGTGATCGACTCCCGAAACTTTCCCCGGAATGATACTGCCGGGCAGAGGGACGAAGAGTTAATGTCCACCAAAACTGATCACAGACATCGGCGGCACTTTTACCTAGATTACTTATATATTTCACAAATTTCATTTGCATATTGGACGCGGAAAAACACTCCTTCGCAGTGGATTAATATTACTGATCGGATATTGAACTGAACAAACATACAGTAATTATCTGAATAAAATATCGCATGGTGGGATTTCCGGGTCGGCGGCTGGAAGGTCCACTAACGGATTCCGACAGAAGGGTCCTTCGCAGCGGCGCTCTTTGCTGCGGCATTCCAGCACTCCTACTATTCCTTTTTGGTCTAATCCTGTTGACCACCGGCATTGTTTTCATCGTACAAGGACGAAATTCGGGCGAATTCATCTCGTACGTTTTTGTCCTAATGTTCTTTATATGGCTGCTTTGGTGCCTTTATTTGAGTATGATTTGCCTATGGCTCTCGAGCGTAAATGAGTTTTGGCAGACTTTATACGGGATCACTGGGGCTTTTTAAGTACTGATTTTGCATTTTAAGCAAGTCGCAAAGTTCGGAGTTGGTAGAGAAAAAAGTAAGCTTCCAACTCTCCCTTTTAGACGGTATGACCGAAGCGCGGGACGTTTATCAGATAAAATGCCCATTGCCAATAGAAGAGAAGAGACGAGTCCCAGGAAGCAGTCGTGAAGAAGGAGACACGATTTCCAGGAAAAGAGCTTTATTCGCCTGACGTTTCGGATTTCTGCACGAACCCATCATCAGAGACAAAAGCAGATACGGATGGTTCATGCACAAGGGATTGCAGTATTTATAGGATGCAGTCGCCATGCTACCGCATACCTATGAACATTCACGGCTCTCACATTTATAAGAGGTCCTTGCACTTGATGTGCTGACTGTTTGATGGCCGATATCCGCGTCGTTAATTACTGTAGTTTCATCACCTGTGTTGGATGTTGGTGTGATGATTGCTCGACTATTTGGCCTACCGACCCTGGCATTGGGAGCAGTGTTCAACTGGGCGCTCCGCGCGGGGCTTATAACTCCGCCCAGGCGAGGTCTCAGCACTGAGTATGGAAGGGGAAGGTCGTCGCACTTGTCAGTGAACCATGATTCAAGCAGCTCGCGGCTCACGCGGTTGTCACCTCTAGCGAGAATTTCGACCTCGTCGAACTTGAATTTGTGGCCGGATCTCGTCGAATGAGCCGCAACACGAAAGCTGGCGTCATTCCTCCGCATTGTTGCAACTTGTTCGGCCATTCGCGTTCGGAGCAGTTTCTCTGTTTGTTTGACGTAGTTTCTTTGTCCGCAACTGCACCATGACCGATAAACGACTCCCGACGTTTCTTGCCGTGACAGCGGGTCTTTCGGTTTCATTAACTGACGCATGATGGTTGTCTCCGGTCTGTTTGCAACTCCAACTCCAAGTGGTCGAGATAGTGGCCGACAGTTTCCGAAACGTTCCTGACATACGGAAGCGCTCACCAAAATTTGGTGTCCTAGCGGTTAGGCCTTTCGTCCCTTTTGCGTATGCACCGGTTGACAAAGTTGCGCGTGTAGCCATTGTTTTTGATGACCCGTCGGAGGTATTGTAGTTCGGCAATCTTGCCTTCTGGCTCACTGCAGTGCGTTTCAACATGCCGATAGGGCGTCCTTACACAAATGCGTTTGTGACTGATTGGGTGGTTGCTATTGAAGTCCAGTACTTGCATCGTATTTGTCGCCTTCCTGAGCAGTTTGGTCTTTTAGCCACCACAATCCTTTCGGCATGCGAGGACATCTAGGAAGGCCAGCTGGTTGTTCTCTTCCTCCTCGATTGTAAATTGTATGTCTGGGAAGACCGCAGTGAGACGTTTTTTGAATGTCAGCGGTTGCTACCGGTCGATAACGACGGAAACATCATCCGCACACCGAGCACGTATCTGCCATTGTCTCTGATGGGGAGTTTGAGCAGAAATTAAAGACGTCGAGCGAATAAGGCCCTTGTCCCAGCGATCGTGCCTCCTTCTTCACAAATATCTACATCGCTTTTCTTTAACGCAGTTAGGTCAGTTAATCCTCAAGTTGTATCATGCGTTTTTTATTTAAATAGATGTTTATCGGATGTATGTAAAAGCTATCCGTTAGTTGAGAATGCTATCCCGTGAAACGCCTTTGACTTTTCTGCGGAAATGTTGGGTTGTGCGACGGCTGCGAGAGGTGGATGTAGAGTGGGTACTTGCGGTACACGTTTTCCAGGGCATCGACTGACTCTGTCACATTAGACATATGCTGAACAGTTAGGCTCCATTGAGTGCACTTGGAGTCGGGAAAGTGACATAATACAGCTGCCAGTTTGTCGTTACTCACTCTATTAAGAACTGCCGCTAAATCTAGTTCGAGCCAACATAAATGTGACCCCAAACTACTCCCTACTTTCCAGTACAGGGGTGGGAAACTGTATATCGAAGATTTCATTTATTTCATATCTTCTGTCGTCCTGCTGGCCCTTAATTCAACATAATGGTTGCAAGTGCCTGAGTACACATCTACCCGCAAGTTTACGAACTGCCGAATGCGAAGTCGCACTGTAGTGACAGAAGAGGATGCCCCTTATCAGAAGATGAAGATGCGATCACTGGAACAAGAGGTTTATTTGCCTGACGTTTCGGATTCTCACTCGAATCCATCATCAGAGACATTCGCAGATGGAGGTGAAGGTGGCACCAGGAGTGCAGTATTTATAGCACGTGGCTGCCGTAGGACCGTATGCGCACTGCAATCAACAGTTCTCACAATCGCCGCTGGGGTCGTAATTGATGCGGCGGTGGCTTGGCGGTCCGAGTCCGAGTTGTTAATTGCCGCGATTTCGTCATCCGTGCTCGATGCTGGTGTGACGATTGCTCGGCAAACTGGCTCACTGTCACCGTGATAATGGCTCACCCGCGCCCTCCCCACGTGACTGATTCTCCTGCCCAGGGAAAATCGCAATACGGAATAGGGCACCGGGAGGTCATTGTGTTTGTTGATTGATTGCGGGCCTGAGAACCATGACTCGAGCAGCTCGCGGCTCACGCGGTTGTCACCCCTTGCGAGGATTTCGGCCTCTTGAAATTTGAAAATATGGCCGAGTCCCGTCGAGTGTGCCGCCACCTGAGAGTTAGCGTCTCCCCGCCTCACTGCTGCTGCGTGCTCGGCAAGTCTCGTACGGAGTAATCTCCCAGTTTCTCCGACATAATTGCTTTGTCCGCAACTACACCAGATCCGGTAAACGACTCCAGACGTTTCCTGCCGTGGCAGCGGGTCTTTTGGTCTCATTACTTGGCGCCTAATGGTTGCTTCCGGCCTGTGTGCAACCCCAACTCCAAGTGGAGTGAGAAGACGACTGACGGCTTCCGAGACGTTCTTCACGTACGGAAGAGCCCGCCAAAATTTGGGGCTAGTTGGATTTGGTCTTTGGTGTCCTTTTCGTATGCAGTGGTTGACAAAGTTGCGCGGGTAGCCATTGGCTCTCATTACCCGTCGAAGATATTGTAATTCAGCAACCTTGTCTTCCATTTCACTGCAGTGCGTCTCAACACGCCCTTACGCAACTGCGTTTGTGACTGATCGGGTGGTTGCTATTGAAGTTCAGTATTTGCGTCGTATTTGTCGCTTTCCTGAACACTTTGGTTTTTAGGCCACCACAATCTTTGCGGCAGACGAGGACATCCAGGAAGGACAGCTGACTGTTTTCCTCCTCCTCCATCGTAAATTGAATGTCCGGGAAGACGGCGTTGAGTTGTTCTTTGAAAGTCAGCACCTGATCCCGTTCGATGACGACGAAGGTGTCATCCACATACCGAGCCCAGAATTTCGGTCTGTGGTGTCGGAAAACCAGCGACTCCAGCCGTTGAAGGACCGCCTCGGCTATGAGTCCCGAAATCGGTGAACCCATTGGCGTTCCCTTCACCTGCTCGTAGATTGTTCCGTCGAATGTAAAGTACGTCTTGAGACAGAACTTCAGGAGCTGGATGATTTGGGCGTGTCCGAGGCGATTCTCCGTTTCGTCGTACTTCTCTCGTAGGAGTAGTTCGATTGTCTCGACTGCCAGGTCCTGTGGGATAGAAGTAAAAAGGGACGTGACATCAAAGGAAACCATGATATCGCTTGCCAAGCGAACTGCCGAATGCGAAGTGACACTGTAGTGACAGAAGAGGATGCCTCTTATCTCAACATGATCATCTATTCGTAATTCACCAGGCCCGCGCGGATGTCATTGGCGCCCAGGAACGGTTGCCGCACTGCCCGTTTGCATGCTTAGCCAATGTCATGAGGTCTGCAGTGACCCTCAGCGTAGTCCGACTCTCCTCGACCAGTGATTCCGCTAGCAACACATAACAACTGTTCGCTTGTCCATAGCTCGTATTAATCATTCGGCCGCTTTGCACGACCTCGCAAATGATCACCTAAGGCCTCCGTCTGTCAATGGAGGACGACGCCATTCCGAAATGAGTCAGCGGCCAGACGGGTTCACACGGAGTTCATGTTATCGTAAATAGACTCTCTGCGCCGTTTCATCTAGTGAATGATCGCACAAACCAGAGCTCGGGTATTGGCCTTCATATCCAGGTGGGGACCGTACACCCAGTGACCTGTCTCAGTGTCAGTGAATAAAATCTACTTTTTATTTTAATGTTATAATAAACCACTTGTTGAGAAGTCGGCCTCTGGGTGAGAAAATGGGATGTAACAAAGAGAGAAATACAGTTAGATTCTGAAGACTTTACAACCTCATTTGCTTAGGCAATAAAGTACCATGCATAAACAGTCGTTAATCCAGGATCACAAGAGCGAAATCGACACAAACATTTTTATATCAAATTTTGTACACTGCAGTTGGATCCCGCTTTCTATAGCAGACTGTTATTGTCATCTTAGTGACTAAACTGCCCTGCGGACAATCCAGGACGTGATCTGAATCCTTATCAATCATTTTTTCCTTCCTTCAGAAAGGATAAAACAACTGGCATCCCACTTACCGCATTTGGTGTCTTCTTCATACTTGCTTCCGCCATTTTTTCTACTCGGACAATGTGCTTGTTAGCAATCCTAAAGAACTCAAAAGAATCGTCTGCAATCGTAGAGACAGATCTTTCAAACGTAAGTCACTTGTGGTTTTAGCAAGTCCTCCTGCACCAGTCCAATTTTCGTAGAATTATGAAGGAGATTTTTATCTTTTGGATAAGCTTATTTCATTTAAAACACCCGTGTCCGTACTTGCTAATGCAACCTGCTTAAAAAATCAAAGTATATCTGGACCAATCAAAACAACCTATTTGTATAACACCGTAATTGCCGCAAAGTTCGGAAAACCGGAACTATTACTCACAAGGGCGAATGGGAAATAACAGTCCACTTCTGAAACACCTGTCCCCGTTGGTCTGCCGAATCGGTGGTGCAGATGCGTGTCCAGCCAGCCAATTAGATTAGCGCCTGACCAGGTGGGTCAGATTCACTCCTTGCCGGTTTCTGTCAAACGCAAGTAATTCAGCGAAATTCCATTGTTCGCTTATGTAACCTGGCCGCCCAATCTGTTTTTAAAGGTCAGACCACAGGATAATATAAATCCGTGGTTATCTGACGTCTCTTAGCTCGCAACCATCTAAACATAGGGTGGTTGCCTGTAGATGCGCAGACATTTTGATGTTTGAACGACCTTTCTCAATGCGAGTATAACAATAAATTAATGTCCTTCTGTTATAGCAACCTCCTGTCACTGCTCGATGTAAATTCCATGCCTTAAGAATAGCATCCAAAGTCGTTAAAAGTGCCCATAAAGCTGGATTTTCGGACCGATCTGACCAGAAAATACAGGCGACAAAGACAGCTTTTGTGTATTTCAGAGCGTTGACTGGTAATACACATTAGAATGATAACACGGTAGCACCATCGACATTTAGCCGCGTTAAGCTGCCGACATTCAAATAAATAGGTTGGTATGTTCACGTCTAGTCAGCACGTTGGGCATGACAAGACAGGGTTTGCGGATGGCCTTGAGAAAGTCACGCCCGGTTTGTTTCTGTCTACCGTATGTGCACTTAAATGAAGAACTTGAGCGAATAAAACGGGAATGGCCGAGTACCCACCGTAAATGTTTTCAGAAATACGAAAAAAATGTGAAAAATAATTTGAGGATGACGTTTAGACCAGTTTATTTTGACGACCGGCTCAAGGTTTCCAGGACCATAGACTACTGCTGAACGGACAAACGCTTTGGCAATGAATAAGTGCACTAGGTGCCTGCATTCTTAAAGACCAGCGCTTCACGAATCTGGTGATTAACTGACCCTTAAGGTAGTCAGCGGATGCAGGCAGCCAGCATAATTTGGGCAACGCACTAGCGAGAACCAAGTTTTAACTCCTTCTCGTGTTAATTCTGGAGGTCATATTTTAGAAAAAGTCAAAAAACTATGCGCTTCCCTTTATAACATGAGTTGGTTCTCTTCGTAGAACATCAAGTTGCATAAAAAGGGAACCTCGCGGTTACTTTTCGCTCGTCGCATAGGATTTCTTATTGAGACACTTGTAAATATCCGTCAAAGGTTAAGACTTTTATTACGAAAAAACCGGCCAGAAGAAGACTCGATCTTTACACTGCCAGTGCCTATAAGGATGTGCTTTTCGTCTTGTAGCAGAAACTCATAAAATATCAAAGAATTACTACAGATAGATAGCCACGTGCGTAGTTCCGCTGTATTTTCGATCTTCATAGCCGATAGGTCATTTGTCATGTTAGAAAGCTGCAATATCCAGGTCAGTATATAAAGATTCCGCGTCCGAATACCGGAACTTCGAAGCACAGTAAACAGACCCCAGCCACCTGATGTACGGGACCGGTGGTAATTGGGGTCTTTGGAGGTGGAGCCGGTTAATGCACAGGCAACGAGATCAAGTAGTCGTGTACAAAAGAAAAGCTATTAGGAATGCGCGGTTCTGCCTACCTCCTAACCTCTAACCCTAACCCCTGACCATAACCCCTAGCCACGACTCCAACTGTATTGTGTCCATCAGGTGGGGCTACGTAAACACACCTTACATTCATTCTGTTCGCCAGTTGCAAGCCGCCGATACTGCATGTTCCAAGTATGTCAAATGTGATGCACTTGTCAGAACACTGCAACCTCACTTACTCATGACAGAGTAACATGTGCTACGTCTGGGCGTATTTGAGGTATTTGCCAAAAAAGTAGGTGGGGGATGAGGCACTTGGCAGACTAGCGAAACGGCTGCGACGTAGAATCATGGTAGTTTGAGCAGTATGTTTCTACCGTAGACACTAACGATAGGTTGAAACTGACAACCTCGGATTTGGAAAACGTCAAGTGGTTTTGTCGCCAGAACATGGGTTCTATTAATCACTTCAGCTCAGTGCTTTCGACGTCCTATGAACAGATCGCGACTAACAACAAAAAGTATAGCATTAAACATATAGACTCGTTAGTTTTGAGCACATTAGTCGACCCTTAATTAGTAACACGGAGATATTTTTTGGTTAATTGTCTTTCCTGTGTTGTCAATGTGTAAAAAAAATGCAAAATGCCTGCTGGCGTTTTGTGAAGATTACACGGTTATTTCGCCGTAGCTGATGGATTTTAGCTCGGATTTCATATCAACTTTCCGACCGTGTCTGAAAAGGTCAGTTCTGAAGGATTTATTCCAAGTTAACGCATTAGTTTCCTTGGAAAGTAAACAAGGCAAAGTAAAACTGGAGTTTATATACGGGGAAATACACGGGGAAGGCCGGAGGCCCCAATGATGAGCCGAACTCCTTGTACGTTCGTCGGGGAGCGAAACAAGATCGGCGAAACCCCGGTGCCTGCGCTTTTAACTAACATCTGTGTTTCCAGAATGGTAAATAATTACACAGTTTAGTGGGATTATTAGCTGTTCAGAACGGCTGTTTATAACACTGAGAAAACCTTTGGTACATTACGCGAAATTTGCCGTCCAACAACCAGGAGTTAAGGCAAATATGTCAGAATAAGGTCATCCCAGGTTCTCATATTGTTGTTGTTATCTATATTATTGTCTTTACTTTCCCGGCTAAATTAAACTGCGCAATCATTCATTATCCAATCATCTAGGTAATATTTGCTACAATAAACATATTTTATTTTAAATTTTAGGCCGCCTACCCACGCCAGGAGTACGGAACCTATCTCAGCAAAGACCCCGTCCCTCCACCTCCGTACGAACTTGCGACAAAACAATAAATAATTGGGAACGTTTATTCTATTTAAACTGAAGAATTTAAGTAACGGCATAACCTTTTGGAAAGCAAATATAAATATGCTAGTTGTTTTCATAATCGTGGCGACTGTGGGGCATTTACTTAGTCGTATCAAAACCTACAATGGTCATTTCATATTTTCCAGCAGAAAACCAGGCTGTGGTATCAGGCACACGGATCTTCTCTTTGTCAGATAAATTATCTTTACGAAATTTCCCGATGCGGAAAAGTGGACAATCACTCAGTGTACAATGGTCTACGACATTGCTTCTGTGTTAAGTATATCTTCTTTTCTAGTTTTTAAGACGGCGGATCCACAACGAACCGTCTGATCAATCGTAGTGAGGAATTTTTGAGTTAACATTAAAAAAACACCTCGAAAATCTGCATGAGTACGCCTCCGAAATCGTCACTTTTTCTAAGCTTGTAGTCTGGAATGCAACCAGGTTGATGGGCGTAAAATAAAGGGAGCGTTATGTCACTAGTTCCTGGATTTTGAGATTAGAATGATATCCATATTTTTATATGAATTCAGTAATGATCGGTCGACATTTGCATTTCTGGAAACCGCGATAAAATATCCGTCATATCGAGGTTTTTATGCAGGTATGTACACGTTTGCGTGGTGGCATATATTTGTGCGGTAATAAATGCGATCGCTCAGTTACTAAGTGGAAATCAGCAGATCCAATTATGCGTTTTCTCGGCATTTCATTATATCTTTAAAAGCTTCAGCGAACGTTCGATGAAAAGAATATGAATAAAGCATTGTCTCAGTATCGATCGTTGCTATCGGGTTTGACTGCTATTCGACAGCAAGGATTAACGGGGTTAAGGTCAGGCTTGTCCACAGTTTGCTACATCTGTTAAGTAGTGAATAAAAAAGAGTTTTGATCGTCATGCTATGAGGCCAGTTTATCACGAAACTTAGAAAGGTTTCAGGGCATATAAAAGCTCCGAAATGTCTCTTAGAGCGAGCATGTTCTTCAAACGCAAGGAAATGCAGTTAGTAACCGGTTGTAAGAGACGTTAACCGAAATTCTGAAATGCGTTGTCGATTAAGGAAGATTGCTTACTTGGGGCTGTAATAGTGATGATTGCGCAATATAATCTGAAGATATCTTTGTCAGTCTAGGGTACCGGCTTTGAATATACTTACTTTTGGCCACCTAGAAACAGCTTTCAGTTAAAAAATACTAATTCAGTGGCATAGTTATCTCTGCTGACTATCAGTAGCCCTATAAATTCAATGGATATTGTAAAAAAATACGCAAATTGTTTTTAACTGTACACATCTACTAGAAACTCACGTGATCCTCAAATTTTATTCCTGATGAAAGAGTGTCTTTTGATTTAGAAAAGTTTATAATTATGAGCTTTTTTTACGACCGTGGCTAATATTTAATGAGATTGGTCGCTGGCCACGCTTTTGGGGACGAATGCTGGCCACAATGTTCCCTGAAAAATCTCAGTACTTCCCTTATCTTCGGTCGTGATGGATAGTACGCACCCAGCAGTGTTTTCTAGAAGCATAAATGGACTAAAAATTTTGCTTGACTCTATCCCTGTGTACTGTAAGTTTCAAAAAGGCACCACATAAACTTATGTATAGGGTTTGTTTGCCGTCCAAGCGACCGCTTTTCATATAGTTTTACAGGCAAAATCTAAATTAAAACTTTTCGGAAAATGCTTGTATTCCAATTTATGCGTTTTTTCATTCTTTTACAATGCCAAAATCTGATTAGCAACGATACCTTAAGGTGCAGGATTCAAGTTTACACCAGGCTAGTTAAGGATAAATTAGAAGGTCCGGTTCTGCTTGCTTACAATACATTTTTGCAACGCACGGTAGAAAATACCGTTGTCGATTTTGAAGATTATCTGTCACATGATCATGATGAGTGGAACATTGCGAAAGGCACGTTTACTGAGGTAAGCGGGGTCAGGCATTTTATTTAGCTGAAGAATCTAGCCGAAGACAAATTTTCATATGTTATTCGCAGTTATAAGAAACTTTATCGTTCCATTAAACCGGTCCATCAAAACAAACATTGGCAAATGACAAACAGCACATGGTGTAGGGAAAGTGTCCTCAGAAGTTTAAAAATGTAGGAGGCATTGTTTTTAAATTCTTCTTTATAGTTGTAAGAAAGTAATTAGCATTATTTGGAAAATATTTACGGCCCTATTATGGATGTGCACAACAAACAATCTCGTGGGCAGCTATTTACTGAAGAATGAACAACCCATTTACTAAGACTGTTAACTTCCTTTGTAAACATAGTCAAACGTCTGGGATTGGGAATTTGTTTATTTGGAAACTGACTAGCTGTTATTTTCTGTGACATTTAGAACTGAATTTTTGGTATAAGAAAAACTGCCCTGCAAATTGAATGAATGATAACAATCAAAAATATATCGTAAAGCGTTTATTAACACGAGTATGTTTGCTACGAAGTATACTTAAACACTGCTATAGGAGAACCCATAAAAGCAAAACTTATCTGTTTTTCTAAAATGCCGCAGTAATTTAAATTTCGCGCGTAATCTTCGAACGCCGCTCATTTTCCATTTGGAATACGAAGCGTTAATTTTATTTGAGCAAAAAATTTGAGGCATAAAATAAGACTATAATTACCTAACTGAAACGTCAGAAGGAAAGTCACATCTTGAGTATCCGTTGGTTTTCGATGGGCAGCTTCATATCTATCGGCCGTCCACTAATAGTTTACTAACACGCCTATACATCATTTTTCGTTCCCAGACGCTCATTTTTCTCATATGATGACTGCTTGCATCGGCGTTATTGTGAAAATACTTTTTTACAGTTAGATTCTGATAAGGCTGGTCTGGACATGAAAACTACTCACTCACAAATAAAACGTGTGGATGAGATGCTAGGCTTCTGATCATTGAGCCCTAGAGCTCTTATAGGTTTTCGGATATGAAAAATGATTTATATAGTCCAGGCCGCTCTTTACGGGGACTTTTAAACGATTCCGTAACTTTTTGCTCATAGAGTGAATTGGATCGTCCAGGGTACGTTGTCCCTGCTTCTTATGTGAAAATCAACAATTTCGTAAACCTATTTGCGAGGAATATTAACTTTAAGTGGACCTTCTTCTTTCTCCGCCCAACTTACTACTTCCGGAGGCCATTGTCTCAGGAATTAAAATGTGACTACTACGATAATAGGCGCGCGCTAGACATCACAGTCATTAGATCACGTCCTGATTAATAGAAGACCTAGAAAACCACTAGGAAGCGTTTATTTTTTGCCAAGAATCCTGAAAGCAATTTGAATCCTCGTTTCCCAGGTTTAGTCATAGGCGAACATTCCAATGCAAGGGTCCGAACGACAGAGAATCACGTGACAGCAAATTGGCGTCCGCACAGTCAGCTGATTGGGTGATTTCGACATCTGTGATAGTCTGCGACTGGCTGTCCTCGGAGCTGAATGTCCGCGGGCTCCATCCACTGGAAAGCGGTGGCCGCCTGATTGCCCCTACGACGTGTGCGTGTGAGCTGTCTGAGCTCCCGTCTCTAGAGCGGGTCAGTCAATCTGAATTGCTGGTGACCCGGTCAGAGAAGTAGTTCTTATAGTACATCTATCGGTTCTCCTAATGGTCCTTGATTCTGACAAGGATGGAGTTCGTGAAATCACCGAGAAAGTAGAGCTCAGGGACTTCTGTAATACGAGAAGGATGTAAATATTAGATTTTTTCCGTAGGGCATATAGACTCGGCAATCAATGGAGTGTACGAAGGGCATTAGAAAAACTCGCATTTCTGCCATATGCTTGTTTTACCACTCAAACTAGGTGCCGGAACTGACCATGATATTTGAAAGATACGAGCAAGGGGATGCAGACCGGCGACAAATAGGTAATTCAAAGTTATCGGCTAAATAAGGCCGGGTTGACTAGGACAGCATTCGATATGCAAACCTGAGCCTAAGCCCGACCCAAAACCTTTCTCTAGCCGTATCATTTAACCTATCCCTAATCTTAGACCTAACCTTAACCTTAAATTTGAGCACTTCCTTAAGCATGACGAGAAATATATTCCTAAGTTAATCATAACATACTTAAACCAAATAAGTAGACATGTTGTACTAATGAAAGTACGGCACTCGTAATCAATCGTTTCCCTGTTTGTTTCGAAATTCTTTACGCAATTGGGTTATTTTCTTTGCCAGGGGTGTTGTCAAAAACATGGAATTAAACAACACTTTTATCTACTTTCTGTTCGCCGAGGCCATCATTTGTATCCCAAAAACTGTGTGACGACATTTTCGTTGAAGTGATTTTAATAAACTAACACAAAATTTCGTAGTGATTGGATAGCTTAGCCGTTCATGTCCACTTTGGAACTTAGCGGTAGGTCAAATTTATAAATTATTAACAAGCTGTGCAAACTAGGCTTTCTGGATCCCACAAGTTCACATTCACCCAGGATATGACAGATCGGCAGCTGACGTCCCATGTCGTCACATTGACATCGTTTCGAGGATTCAACCATGTTCATATTAACTTAACATCCGCAAATCCCTTTTATGATTTTGAGATTACAAAAGAAAGATTTCCGTGTTTGAGTCCACATTTAGTGAGACAAAAGTTGAATAGGAACGAAAGCAAACTCTGGCAAATGGACATTTTTTCACTTTAACTGCGACAAACAGATAAAATAGTTTGCTATATGCCTAGAAAAGTTAATAATAATTCCAGATCACGTTAGTAGTGCCGATAATTGTTTTGCCTTACAATTATGATAATTTACTGTTATGTAATTGACATGTGGTTGGCAAAATCAACATATTGCTCTCATTCCAACTCTCAGACTGCCCCAGCTAAAATCATGAAGCTTTGACGTTATCAACCCTTAATTAGCTGAACTCAGCTGTTGCTCTTCTGCCGTAGCTTGGTAAGATTTCTGAACAGGTCTGACGATAAATAGTCAAAAAGCAACGTCCGCCGAATTTGACTGCTGCATTTTGAACTGTGTCATCGATGAGATACGAGTACATACGCGTCATATTTAAACCTTGAAGTCGGTTCTGTGTGTTTGTATAAAGTGGTCATTTATGGACTGTGACTCAGGCTTAGGCGTCCCTTCTAGATACAACAGTTCGACTGTCGACTCCGACGACTTACACCGTGTGTCTCAAAACGGGTTTCACGTAGAGAGATGATTTGAACGTGAACTAATTTACGGTATGAGTAGACTTACGAAGCATCTATCGTATTCTTTTTTTCTCTCCCACCTGGGTCCGGTGTCATGACAGATTCAAAATGACTGAAGATGGAAGAGGGTATGGGTGGCTGGCGCGACGTGAACCCTGCAGCTGGGCACGTCACCACCAGGCCTCTTGGTCTTCGCACAAATTACAGGACTTTGCTTAACGAAAAGTGTGGGTGCAACTCAGACCCTAGCTAGGTGGAAGTGCCGTCAAGGGCACATGAAAAAGGGGACCATCGTAGTTTGGCTGTCAGTCTTACAGTCGGCCATTCCACACAAACACACAGTGAGTTTACTGCGAGGCCTGAGTTGGCAACATCCCATGCCTCAGTTTTTTAGTGCACTCTGATACCCTCAAAGTCATCAAATTGTTTATGGTGACGGAGATGCGTTGAGAGTCGAACTTACTCCCTATTCTACCTCCCGTACACCATTTTTCTGTCCAAGCCGGTCAGTCAACAGATTCTGAGATCGGGAGCGGTGGCGGACGGAGCTAAAACAGCTCATCTGTATGTGCCAAATACGCGATCAGCCCTCCCCCCCCGTAACACGCCAAGATTTCACAAAATGTCCTCGGCGGCACTCTGATGTCCGTGAGACCCGAGCCGTTGACCCACTTTGCGCGAAAACGCAGTGTGCTGCGCTGGGAGTCAGATCAAGCGCGGCACGAGCAGACGCATTCTCTAGCTCTGACAGTTGCTTGCGCCCAAATCCCGTACCAGAAGACTCGGTTCGGACTGCAGTCTGGTGATAACAGAGGGAATATTGAGAGGGAGAGACGACTCTGGGGACTCTTTCCCATGGAAGTTTGTCCATATTCCTCTTTATAGATCATCTTATGAGATTTCAAACTACTATGATGCGCCAAAAACCATAGCTTGGAAGATGGCCAACTAATGGAATAACTCTGTGGCTGTATCTGAATATGGCTTCTCTCACAGTTTGGATCGAAACCGCTCTACCCTTTTCCTTGTTACGTAAAATCTTCGTCCGTCGAGTGCAGACCAGGCCTTGTCAGCAAATGCGCCTGATTCCGCCTCCCCGTAATCCGTCTTCATACAGTTCTTGCACCCACTGTGCTGTGCGGCACACAACGGACATCCTCCCTCGCGATTTTCAAACGGACACATGAAGAGTTATGAATTCGCGCTTTTTTCCATTTTGATTTTCTACTTTTCCTGTGGTTCATTTGATCTGATGTAAAAGGATGCAGAATAACGCAAAAGTCGCCAGTTCAGAAACGATAGGCGTGTAAAGGCAACTTGAATGACCTATCGAATGGTCATAATAGCGAAATCAAATTGTCACTTGAAATTCCGGTTTTACTGTTTGGTTTTTTCGACAAAATCGGGTTCTTAACTGAGTTTAAGAGCAATGTAATGGAAAAGGACCTCGCTTTCGAATCCATACTCCAATATTTGATGTGAATGGTCGATGAAAAAAATGCTTTTGTTTATTATAAGTCTTCGCATTTGATTACCCAAGAGAGAGACTAAAGATTGTAGGCGACGTTGTGGACAGTTAACTTAACCGATTTCATCTGAGCAGTGGTTGAACCTGATTTGCACTGTCTTCAGTCATAATTGGTCAATTTTGCCCCAGTCTAACTGAAGCACAATGGCCTAGCTCAAATATAGACGTCGACAAATGCACAGAACGATATATTAGAGCTCCAGTTTACCACTCTGAGTCATTGCTGCGGACGATCACACTCAAATAGCTTGTAAGCATTTACCTTGAGTAAAAAATGAGATCTTTTAAATACAACTGACCGTATGAATTTCGTGCATAAAATATATTGATATTTTTTTTAACAAATTCAATTACTCGAGGTGACAGTTCAAATCGTACTAACACATCATTTCACTTACTAGGGACTAAAAGATCATAAGTTTTAATTCATGCTTTTTGACCAAAAGCAGTAACAACCAAAATTTGACAGGGGTCCTCCAAGCGGTTCACTTACCGCAACCATGTTAACTTCCTATAAACGGAACCCCATCCGTACTGAGCACTTGAAATTATCAACCAAATATTGTCCTCAGTCCTGCACTGCAGCACACGGCCGTCCTTTCCGTTTAATGCGTAGGTTGGATATAATACCTGGCAAACAATAGTCGCAAGTTTTTTTGTTATTCTCAACACAAACAAATTTGCCCCATTGAGCTCAGTCAAAGGCAATCACAAATGACCTGCTCTTCCGCGAAGCCAACTTCCTCCCGCTGATAAATATTCATTGGTCGTCAACGACGCACAGCATAACATTTCTTTATTGTTCCCGTGGATAAACCCTTCAGCATTCCGTACTATAGCTTCTGTGTTCCGAAATTTAAGATGTTCTGCAGTGACCGACTTTCTATTTTCTATATGAATGACACTTATGAGAAGATGCGCATTACAAAAGGAAAATGGGCAGGAAGATCAAGACCAGACTTAAAGGTGATGTCAAACGCTGATGCACTCCACTAACTGACCTACTAAAAACATATTTAATTTCAAATAACCACCGGCAAACAGAAGTTGGGAAAGTGAAAATTTTCTGTGCCTCCGCCCGCAGTAGAGGACCGTAGTGTACGCTGATGACGAAATGCCTGCCTTTAATTCCCAATCAGGTTTCCCCTTCAGAGTACATGAGTCCTATTTGATGGCGAAGCTATTGTCTGCCTGGAACATCCTGTTGCGGTTCCGACATATTTTTGTTGGTAAGGCCAACCTTTCATACTTTAGTCTGCAGTCTGCCAGCGACGTTTCCTGTATGCCCACCTTTTGTTATTTTGCTAGCTTGTATTTACTCCTGTCAATTGGGTGTTGTATCGTTAGTGCACGGTGATAAAATGTATGTCGGAAATGAAACTCTGTGTCCCCCCAGAAAAATTATACAAACCAAAAACAAAGAAATGCTCATAATTTAGGAACGTTATAAAACAAAGCGATCTCTTATTCAACTGCATGCAACCGCTGCACATTAATACAGTAGGTGAGATAACTTATGAAATGTCAACCGAAATTCTGAGATACTTTTTCGTTTCGAAAAGGTTAATAAGGTGGGGTTGAAAAATTAACTGCCACGCAGCAAAGTTGTGTAACAATTCAGTTGCCTTCCGATACCGGTTTTCAAAAGAACCTAATTTCCGCTGCATGCCAAAACTATACTCTGCAAAAATGACTATTAAGTGGCATGCATTTTTATCATTGATTACCGATGCTCTTAAAACCCCAATTATTATTATGGATTACATGCATAAAAACATTCATTCTTTTCCTTATTCGATAGAAAATTACCTTATCTAATTCTATACTAGGCCGAAGGGCATATATCGGTTTTCATAAACTTTTCCGATTCCGGAATAATTTTGAACCCCACCTGCTTTAAAACTTGCATTCAGGCTTCCCAAAATACATGCCTTATGCCTTCCGAATACGGAAAACCATACATTTCTCTACAGTATTTAGAAGAGACTATATGCGATTCACAGAATTAAGCATTGGATTCGAACCGTATAGTTAACCTTACAAGCCACATTGGTAAACGCAGAGACATGACGTTTTACGAACGATCATTTCACGATTCAAAAAATCGAGCAGCGACTGCTATTGGTACTTACTGTTTCAAAGGCAAAAAATCATGCCTGAGAGAAGGCAAAAACTCAAAAATGAAGGACGTCTGTCTATTTAATGCCCCTTATTCTGCTGCTGTCTCTAATGATGGATTCAAGTGAGAATCCGAAACGTCAGGCGAATAAAGGCCTTGTTCCAGCGATCGCTTCTTCTTCTGATCAACTAGTTCCTGGAACTCGCATCTTTGCTTGTATTGGTAAAGAGGTTAACATCACTGGTTCTATACTCGGAGAAAATTGGGTCAAGTTGTGTGAGTTGGCGCCTGTGATAAACAACAGGCGAGGTGGAGGGACAATAGCATGAGGAATCGCGTGAATGTCTGGGTAGTGAAAAATGTTTCTCCCCCCCCCCCGAACGGGCCACGCCGAAGATACGCTGGACCAACACGCAGGCCATATTGAATTCTGGCAGGGGTTACCGGAATGCGCATCATAAAAAATGCCAACATTGGGGGGAGTGGTGGCAGGCCTATTTGCCGACTGACGCTGCGCACATTGGCATTCCTACCGCTCCCACACTTTTGTTGTTGGTTAAAACCCTGATCAAGTTGTGTAGACCAAACGGGTGTGCAGTGAAGCGCCGAGGTGTGGGCTAGCCCCGCCGTCCACCTGTGCCCTCCCCAGCCTTCGGTCTTCTTGACTCTGTCTTGACACCGATGGAGATCGTCGGGCACGACAGTCCAGCTCGCATAGCGAAGAATGTTCTTGATGAACTGCTTTTCTTTCATGCCCGGCGCATTCCTCTTTAGGCGGCAGCTGTCTGGTAATTCCCGCTGTAGTCCGTTTTTCTATTTTATAATTAGGTCCCCATTTTAGTACCGCTCTTTTAAGCTGTAGACGGTCTTGTTAACGGAACACCTGCACGACGGTGGGCTGAGCTTACATCAGAATGTAACGTGCCTGTAACTTTCAGAACATCGTCTGGCACGGTCGAGGTGATTTTATTATCCCCGACAGTTTGACCGCCCATTTTGGTGATGTTATTTTGCTGAACATGATTCCTCTTCTTCTGAATTGATTCCACAGCTTGCATCTTGCCTATCTTTTCCTCTGTGCTAGGAATACAATCCTTTTGATGACTAGAAAAAGGCTCCGAGTGAATCGATCATGATTTGGGCCATACGTCTGCCCAGACGGATTTTCCTTTTGTGTAAAAGGTTCCCTAAGTCTAGCGAAAGCGCATTGTATATAAGAAGGGGCATCAAACTGAAGCCAGAACTCACATGCGTTAAATGACCCGATGGATACACGGGTTGCGTCAAACGCCACTTACCTTTTGGTTCATAACTCCTCGCAAAATAACATTCGAGATCTTGTAGGGTTGAGCGTTTTTTTAATGACGCAAACAGCTGCGCGGCCGTTTTTGTCCTTTATTTAAAAAAGCCGAAGAAACACATTACAGTCGTTCGTGTTTCATTTCGTTCGAAACAGAGAATTTCATAATGACCGGGAAATTAGACGCAGACATTCATTTGAAGCTCGTGTGTTTACTGCAAAATATTGAAATTTCCAGCTCGCACACAAATGCCTTCGACAGAAAATCAATGAAAATGAGCCGTAAAAAATCCGACTAAGGAGGTCATACACCTGATCGATGTGCCGATGGGACAATGGCTGGTATTAACATTCACAGAACTTTCTACTACGATCCCGCAGACTCACCGTTAAAACAGATTTGAACTTGCTTTCCTGAGATTAGTCTGAAGTGATCTCTGAACGGAGATTGTAACTTTTTACTGAACCACGAAGTACATGTAGGCCAAATGAAACATGAGTTATTAATTCGCATAGTCTGACTTGCCTGGGTTTGGCGACTACAAAAACCAAGATGACTTAATCTTTCTGGCGGTAAAATTTCTGATAAAATAAACCTTTCCAGTGATTATCCCGAAAAGGGATCGTGCCATTAAAATTTTAAACCATTCTAAGTAGTATATCTTGGCTCAAAATCTTTAAAATAACGTACGTATAGGATACTCTCGAAGACATGAGACTCGATTTTCGGTTGATTTGCACCGTCCCTGTCTTAAAAAGAGTTTAAATAAATTTTTCTCTCTTTGCCAGCAAGTGATGTTTACAAAAGTTTGAGGGACTGAAAAGGAGCATCGACTACTTGGGTTCTCCTGTCGGGCACAGCTGACAATTAATAAAACTTGGTTGGTGGTTTAAACATTTTCAAAAGCAAGTAACAGAGTCCGCACGATAGCGTGTTTCTTGAATTGCTGAAGAACTCAATTTCATCGGATTTTTAATTCATGGTTGTGGCATGGCTGACTTAGACACGCAGCTGAATCAACCCTGTCGATTTGTTATTCCCTTCATTATTGTGCATATTAACACTCTTTTATTAGGCCATTTGAACTCAAATACATCCCAGTGCTACTGCATAAATGCCTGTAGCATATGGAAGCAGAAGAAACTCAAAAATCTGAAAGTCATTTTTTCTGAGAAGGAATTGAAACAAACTGAATTAAATTTCCGCCATGCGCGCGGACCGTAAGAAATCGCAAGCTGGCATGCCAGATGCGTAAAGTGCCCTCCAATTTTTTCTTTTCCGAAGTGGTTTTCATGGTGTGTCTGCATACACTATACGGTTATCACCCTGTATCATTCATGCTGACTGTTATTTCCCCTAGTTCAGCATAATTGCTGGTTTATATTTCAACTAGTGGACAAAAGTAATGCGCCACGCATTTGGTTATCAATGAACCTGACATTATCCACTACGTTTTTTGATACAGTAAATACCGAGGAACCGTCAGGTATGAATGATCACCGTAAGACGGAATGATAATAAACACGTGCATGTGTTGGACCCGGGGTCAGAAATATCGAGAGCTTATGGGGTGTTCTGCGTTCATCTCTGTATAGACTGCAAAAAAGCACTTTCGTCCAGTTTTAAGTGACATGCATGATTTCCTTCAGATACTGACGGTTGGCAGTGAAAGTTTAGCATGTCATGGAATTGAATTAAGAGCAACAATAAATAGTTAATAAACACACGTCAAAATGTCTATTGGCCGGCGTGACATATCCGATTTAAGGCATCCAGCAAAGGAGTAAGAGCGGTCAACGTCACAAGTCTCTATCTCCGGAGGCATTTGCTGGCGGAATTTCGATATTCGCTTTAGTTCATCAGGCATCCGGAACTTGTCACGTCAGCGCAAAGTAACTAGCGCTTTTAATGCATCTTCAAGGCACATTCCAGCTCCGTTTACATCCAGCAGTGGCTGCTTTAAGTAAATACACGGGTGATTTTATTGTCCTTTCCTATAGAAAGCCGTGCTCACATCGCGAAAATGCAACAGATAATTTGCAGTTGCGCATTTCATCGCGATCGATTAACTTTGGTCACACAAATACCTTTGCTGAGGGACAAAGTCGGTGGAAAATATACAGCGGTGTTCCGGTCTTTCATCAAGATTTTGAAAGCGTTTTTGTTGTTTACCATTATTTGTAAGTCTTGCTCCTTGTCTGTCACAAAGTAAAACGTAAAGGAGACAAGCATCGTAACGATAAAGTAATGCGACTCAGATCATGTCATGTTCGGAAACTAATGAGTAGGGAAACTGTCATTCCTTGATGCCTATCAATATGAAAGTCTCTGACCTAATAGTAAACAATTTAATTTTCAAATCTTCGTCGAAGAATGTGTCTCATTCCCCCTAAACGGAGCACAGGGTACTCAATCAGCTAGCGAAATATTCTAACGGCAAGACTTTTGCCTGACAATATAGTGAAACTAAAACCAACCTCTGTGAAGAGTTTTCTCACGAAATAGAAATGCCTCGTATGAAATATGATTTAAAAATAGGCTAGATCGCGGTTGGTAGCCAGACCCCGTATAAAAGGTGGCTGGGGGTTTGTTTACTGGGGCTATTTTGTGGGGTTTTATGATCACATCTGACCCATTTGGCTTCCGTTTTAGGTTTGAGGTTAGAATTAGGGTAGAAGTTAATGGTTTTCGATTTTCGAGTTAGGGTAATGCATTTAGCCTTAGGTTTTCGGGTTACGGTTAGTGTTTGAGCGTACGATTAGGTTTCAGTATTACGGTTATATTTTTCAGTTCCGGCCATGTCTAAGGACTTCGGTTACTTTTACGATTTCAATTAGGGTTGTCTTTAATGTTAACGGTTTACGTTTAAGGTTGAGGTTAGAGTTAAGGTTAGGATAAGGGCTAAGGTCGCCGTCCGCGTCCCCATCCCTGGCTACCAACTGCGATCTAGCCCAAAAATATCCCCGTAATAAATCAACGGGAGTATATTTGCTTTATATATGGAAGCTCCTGTCTGCCTTTACAATAATATATTGAAACGCTCAAAAACACCATCAGTGCCAGGTGGAGTTAAAGAAACGATTGTAGTGGTAACATCAGATATTCTGGATCAGCACTTGTAATCTACAACCAGCGGCCCGCCTAAAGATAGGCCAGTCTGTGCAGATGCGGAATATATGTCTTTTAAATTCGTCAGTACCAATGACAAGTGCATTTTAAAATAAGCCCGTGCGTATGTAGACATTCAAGTTTAATGAGGATAAACAGGTGAACTTCCGGCTAATAACTGCTCTTGTAACTACGACAGAAAATTAGAGAAACTGCGAGTTGTCTCTATGAGCTGTTTCGTCATCCTCTTGCCTTACTTGCAGATTGGGGCACTAGCAACCTCCACAGGGCAGGAAGTGCAACCGCTTGCCACAGCACCGGCTTGTAAACAGCACGACGATAGTCCGTTATTTGAAGATGACTCAATGGACAGCTTCGCCACCAGCAGAGGAGGGTCAGCGGACGGGAGCTGAACGAAAGTCCATTCGTCGTGTCATTCTCCTTTTCGGCATCCCAGCGATCTGCTTTTTCGTTCTTGGTTTAACAATGATTATTCTGGGCGTCAACTTCATGTCGGGTGACGAGTATTCGTAAGTGTGCAACCCTCCTTATTACGGTGAAAATGTAATGATGTTTGATCAAGTCCGGATGCGACATTTTTTTTATCCAGACTGCTGTTAGGAAGGGGAGACTTTCAAAAACTGACGTTTTTCAAATTTGAAGATCAGAGGTGCATCAAATGATCAAGGACGCTGCGTTTCCCATGGCTCACTGGAAGGGGATCATAGCAAATTGCAGTGATCTGCATGCACTGTCAAAGTGCAGTTTTGGTGCTGGAAGCGGCAGTGTCATGTTATCAGCCTGCTATTTCCTGTGAAATTCCGAATTTTTCAGAAAGCCCTCTCACTCATTAAATTGTATTCTACACTTGTCTGGACATTAAACAGCGGGGATGGCTACCAACCATTGTTTTAGCCTGCGCAGATACTTGAGGACTGGTGGTCTCATTCCACAGGCGAGTAGTTGACCGTTGGCCACTTCTCTAAGCCCTTGTTGCACATACTTGGTGCAGGCAATCGCTCCTAAGGTAAAGATAGACTGCCTCACTGTCCTCGTTCAAAGGAGGGCCTTCACTGAGGTGAGGCTGTTGTTTTATGATGATGGAGTCTGTATGGTGAAAGGAGAACTGGACAATAAAAGTGGTTTCGCCCTGTTGTGGGGGGAGGTTAATTTATCTTTACTCAGCTGTAAAAATCTCGGCGACCTCAGAGGGATCCGAACCCATTACAGCTAGATGAGGCTGGAATTTAGCCAGAGTCCCAACCACCTGAGCTACCAGACCCCACTGGTAGCCATGATTTGAGTCACATTTGGGTCACGTTACCCGCCCAGCCTACTGCAATGTATGGAATCCACCAAAGCTCATACAGTAAGCTGACCGCCCAAGCAGGAATCCGTAATTAATTAATCTAGAATCCACCAGATGACTACCAGGGCCACGTATTTAATGGGCGTCGAAGCAGATTTTTAATAATTTATTTTGAGCCGGCTGAGAAAAGCTCGGTGCTCTAAGTAGTGTTATAAACCATGACAGTAAGTGGCATGCTTTTGCACAGCCAATAATCTAGGCATCTTAGCAAAGAGGTCTCACGGAGATCCGTCAGGTTAATTACAGTTGGGTCAAAATAAAATATTTAAAATCTTCCAAAATCCCTATTAAATGGAGAGGTTGATCAATTCCAAATCGTCGGTGCAAGGATATTTCACAGAGGTGAGGAGCACAAGGTAAAATAAAGATGTGCTTCGCATGTGCTTGGCGTGAACCGACTTTGCCTAACCAAAGGACTTTGCGCCAGTGGGAAAAGGGCTGTAGAACTGGCGCAGGTGATCGTCTGGTGAGTAATCAATGTTATGATTTACTGCTAACCATTATTCGACCACTCACATGGAATGCGGAATAATCTGTTTCATATCCTTCGGTTAAAATTTATTATTCCCGATGCATATTGGAGGTGGTGAGACTTTGATTCGTCATAAGCCGACTCTGGCACAAACCTCAGGTAACAGACACTTGCAGTTCGAATGTCATTGGCTGATTGCGTTGGATGAGACATCAATAACTCGCCTAGTGTTCACATTTTTCCTGTCCAGCTTCTCTTAAAATTGTTCCTGAAAACGTGATTTCGTTTGGAGTTAACCTAACTAAATATATGATCGAGCAACTGGCATATGGATGCAACAGACTAAGTCTATTTGCCATTGCTTTATACAGTCATGGCTTCCAGGCTGCAGTGGAGTCCTCTACAGCTGATATAATTGTTTCTAACGACATTATTACTAAGACTTCCGTGCTAGTGGTGCTAACCCATGTTTGCCAATTCTATAGTGGGATCGGACCGCCCACCTCTTAGTATCGGTGTGCTTGCGCAATACAGCAGGGGGTTATATTTGATCTTGAAACCATGATTCAGTTAGAGGCGGTCATGGGCCAGCCCTCCTTCGACAGTTTAAGCAATCAGTTCTCTGCGGGGTGTCTGCGTAGACTTCATTCTTGCATGTTATTGTGGAGACTCATCGTGCACTGCTTAATCTTAGGCCTCGCCCTCTCTCCCTATCACTTTTGATTTCTATGGGTCTTATCAAAGGTTTTGAGACCTAAAAAAATCTGCACAACATCAGCAAGTAGCTGTGCGTTCCGTCTGTTAGGTCGAACATCGCGAAGCAGACGATGAGTACTAGTGTAAGAGTGAATTTAATAAGGTGAAGAACTGTATTTCTTAATTATACGCCTATGAGCAGGCTTTCAGGTGTGTAAGCGCTGTAGGCGACATGACCTTTGACTGCAAACCCTAAGCGACGAACTCTATCAGTCTAGACACTTGGCGCCTGACACCTGGCTTACGTACACGGCATGATTTATTGCGCTCCAGTTGGTGTATTTCACCTAGACAGAAGGTCAGACCGTCGATGAGGCATAATCCGGGTGGCCTGTCCAATATGCAGATCACATTGACGGGGCATTCTAAATCACTCTCAGCCCTCTCAGGCATATAGATCTAGCAGTAGCTTGAGTAGAATGTTATTACCGACAAAGACAAGGGAGATTGGAATGGCCATTTCTGGCTTACAAGCCGTAGTCAGAGCTGCTGTGCGGCTGCTATTTGGACTTGAGAGAGAGCACTTTAGGCACAACGAGACGAGTAAGCTCCGTAAGAGCGGTCAGAAGAGGTTATTTAGTTTCAGAGCCTGAGCATATCGTTGATAGAAACTGCTATGGATTCTGTCAGGTTACTGCGTCCCGAACAATAGTTATCCTCCAAATAGGGAAAATCTCGGGGGAGGGGCGATTTAGGATGCTTCTTAAAAAGACCTTCGCTGACTTCCTTCTAGTATCATCTGACTTCCTTGCAAGGCCAAATGTTCGTAGGTGCTTGGTGAATACGACTGAAAGCAGTAGGCCTCTGTCATCAATTTCTAAGATGCCATTACTGTGCAGTAGTTTTTTTGATCCTGGCCACGTAAAGTGCCCCACCTCACTCTTCCGTCCATAGCACCCAGAACGTTCCGCCACCGTCTCCTTAAGGGCACAAAAGTCTTCCGATTTTCAAATAACTTAGAGTCTTTTATTAGCCCAGAGATCTGCGTTAAAGTGATCTGACAAATGGGTCTTAAAACGTTTTTTGTGTGTATCTCCAGGTGCTTTGTACAAGGTTTGTGCAGACTAAAGTGACGGAGGCGGTAAAAATTGTGACATTACAGACTAAAAATAGAAGGACTGTATTGTTATGATGAGAGGGCGTCCACAAATCAGGGAACCAGGCATGTTTAGTTTGTCGCAGCGGCTCAAGCCATCGGAAGATCCTAACCACTACGACCCAGTTTTGAACCGAAAGCGGAGTCGGACGCCAGCTGTGAGCATGTTGTATTCTGTACAGAACTATTAGAGAAGAGGTTGGTAGGATTTGGCAGTTAGACGCCTGTAAGACCATGGGGCAGTCGTCCAGCGCATTCAAGGTCATTCTCGAAGACGATTGGCCAGTTTGGATTGCCGTCATTGACCGAGAACCCGACTGCCATTGCTACTCACGTAAAAGCATTCGTGTGAAACTGGGGATCACAACATTCGCGTGCAGTTGGTCTGCCACGAGTTCCTCCTTCCCAGACCGCAGTTCGGGTAACAGAGCTGAACAGAAGAAGAGCAGTTAATTTTAGTGAATGCAAAACGTACCAACGGTGGTGTTATCAACAGCGTAGACAGCTGCAGGTGAGGGGGAGGAGCCTGGGTGATAGAAGAGCTGAAAAAAATCCTGTGGTTGAATTGTTCATTTGGACGTAGGCAGCAAACGTGTCTGCCATGACGGTATTTGCTGGCTTGAGTGCAGAGATACCGCTGATGATAGAGATAAGGTATCGGACAATGGTAGAGATGCTAGGTGCCAACCCTGATGTAGGGACAATTGGACTGTACCGGAGGCATGACTAGGACTCGATACGTTGAGATTGTTTGATGACCTCCATTTTGCTTCACGACACAGATATCGCCAACCATATTCACAAATATCGTGCTCACGGAAAGTGAAGACGAGAAGGCCAATTCATAATGGGTGGGCTCAGCCACGTCTAGTAGTTGCATGACCGTATAACGTCGGGTCAATCAATATCGCGGCAGCCTGATCCATAAAGAGACCCCAGCCCATACGATTATCAGGCCCGATCTCAAATGCAAGGGGGAGGAGGGGAGTTGGGAGTCAGTTGGAAGAAGAGTGTATTTCATAAAGAATAAGTGGCGAAGGTATTGAAGAGAGCTAAAAGGCAAATGACGGTACTTTCGGCGCCGGGAGAGCGACGTATGCTTCTCAGCGCCTTAGACGAGAAAACGCCTGACTCGGCCTTAAAGATGATTGACCAATTACAAACCAGGCTCCCGCTTATATGCCCGTGCAGGCAATTGCAAGGGGTGCTGCATCGCAACAGTAGGCCGAGGTACGGCCACTAAGAGTCCACCAGCGGCCTAGGGCTCTATCCAAGGTCCTCACAGACGGTCAAATTGCAGCCAGCAATGATAGAAGAAGACACATTTGCAAGGAATGACCCATTAACCACATCCCTAGGTTCGGAGTAGCTTAGATCTGAGCCCATATTCTTTGGTCAGCAGGCCCATCTCTCAACAATGGGGATTTCCGCTAGTGAAACAGGTAGTGAGATGTGGTTGCGTAATGCCCCCTGACGGACACAATACTGTCGACCTACTTAACTATTTGGAATTGGTGTGATTACGTTGGCATGGTGTCGCAGTGCGTTGCGCTGTGTGTTTTGTTGGCGGCCTTGTTTCTTTGTTGTCGTGTCTACCTTTTTCGGCCTAATGCCCGTGGCCCTTCTTGACTACCGGCCTGTCGTCTCCGTCTAACATTTCCGTTGGATGTTTCAGGGTTAGGGCTTCGGTTAAGGGTTATTGATAGGGCTGGGGGCTAGGGATAGAGGGTTGGGGGTTAGAGTTAGGGTAGTCGTTATGGTTAGAGAGTCAGGGTTAGGGATTATGGTTAGGAGTTACAAGTGGAGGTTGAGGCAACTAGCCCTCAAAGTACAACCGCGCACTTCCAATAGCTTTACTTTTGCATACAATTGCCTGACCTCGTCGCCTGCGCATTCTTCGACCCCACCTTTAAATTTCCCTATTACCACCGGTGCCGTATTACAGATGGCTGGGGTTTGTTTACCTCAGGTGCGCCTACATAACCCCATCTGACCAAACGGTCAATGACCAAATTATCCCCATTCCAATCCCTTGTTGTCCAAGTCTACTTCAGCTTCCAGACCTGAAATAGCCACTACTGTCTCTGTTATGTAGCGACTAAGTGGCGGGATGGTGTACTCAGAACACTACAATCGTCTGACCGAGACGCGAGTTGGAGGAAAAGGCAGAATTCCCCAGAACGAGGACTTTATACAGGACCGTCAACTGTCCTCCTAGGCGGCAGTAGTAGCTGGCCAAGCCAGGGCTGATGTTGACTGCGTCCAGTAATGCCTGCGTGTCCGTGAGGCAGTGGTGCCGGCTGCCGTTGTAGGCTTGTCGGGCAACCTGAAATGATGCCCGATTAATGTGTGGGAAAGTGTTTAAGTGGTTTGTGTGGCATTCGCAGGGAGGAGGGGGGCTGGTAGTGTATTCAAGTGGCGCATGGGCAGCTGCGAATCGTCTGACTTGAAGTCGGTCGCTCGGCTGCAGGTCAGTGCCTCTAGAACCGCTCACTGCGGAGGTGAATGACGCTGACGAACAGGGACCTTGGACATGGACGCCAAGCATGGCCCTGGTTCACGCAGCCAAGCAATTTTTCATTCTAAAAATATGCTTCAGTTGTTTTGCTGCGTTGCTACAGGCCGGGGCCGATAAACTAATATGGACCTTTGCTCGGATGCACAATTTAATTAGGGGCATGTCTGTTAAGGCGCTACACGGTACTGTTTCTTCAGGCGCAATTTTTGTCCTTTCCTAGCCTGTCTCCTTGCAAGCAGTACTTGGACCCCACGCGTTGGCAACGACATTATTTCCTCGACGACAACTTTCTGCCTGCTCTCATCTGAGAACGTTTCCTTTGACCTTCATCCTGCCTTCTCAACCACTGCAGTATTAATCAACTTTGGAAATCTATACTCTTCGATTTCCATCGCAGTTTGTGGGGCAGAATACCTTACGATTTAAGTGTTAAATGATGAATACAATTCAGAGATATAAACAACAGTTTATTCATCTCGAACAATGACGCCTACTGTGCGCTGCACAGGAGGGTGTGTACAGGGACGGTGGCTTGCGCTAGTTAGTCTATGGCGTTAGTAGACTTACATTGGATTTGTCGCACTCCGGGTTCTTACACGCACCTGGATCCGGTATCATGATAGGGTCAAATGACCGGAGGCGAGATAGGGAGCAGTAGCTGACAAAGTTAAAATGTCCATCTATGCGTGCTACGCACGCCTGGACTGCGCAAGGTAGACCAGATTTTCACACAAACAAGGGGCCGGCTATGATCTCTTGCTTGGAAGTAGTAAAAATAAGTCACTGCGCCATGACTCCCAATTCTGTGAGAACCATATTATCCCGTCCGCAGAAAAAATGCTATAGTTCTAAAAAATTAGAATAACGAAAACGGAAAGTTCTCAGAGTAGTAGATGACAGAATTTCAGAGCAGAAATGCATAAAGGGAATTTGTAATCGCTTTTTTTGATTTCCCACAGGAATACAACTGGCATCCGATTAACCGTGTCCGGTAGTTTCAAAATCATCATTGCAATACTCCTGTCAATTCGGCCCATCATTTTATTGTCAAAGTTAAGGAACCCAGGTTCATCTTCAGCACCACCTCCCGCATACATGTCAACCGTAAGTCTCCTTGAAAACTTGATAACCTCAGTACGTTAGTCTTTGAAGTATCATCAAAGGTGCTATTTTGACCTTAACTGAATTGTCAACGAGCAGCTTGATAAATTGTAGAGTGCCTGACTGAATAACGCTCCATAACCAGGGAATGAGGACCCAAGTCCCGTGTCCCGGAGATGTGAGTTTGGGTAAGGCTGGCTGTTGATGTTCATCTCAACTTCCCCTATCTTTGTCGTTGTTCACCTTAGGCCCATTTTCTTGTGGATCATTTGACTACAAGATTACTTTTAATCCTCCGAGCTTTCCGACAGAAACTTGAACGATGGATAACCGAATTTGTCCGCTAAATCCGAATTGTCCGCTTAAGGTCCAACATGGGTCTACAGGAAACTCTATGTATAGTCCTCCAGTGGCGCAAGCTAACGTGACCGACAGGACAACGACGACGTTTTTACCACCACTTGCTAGTCACGCCTTAGTCACAGATAACGAAGGCTTGAGATTTTAGCCTGTTCACTGGCTGGTAAGGTGAACTCCCTTTACCCTATTTATTAGATGCGAACAGGAAAATTCGGTCACCCGATCACGAATTTCATCGGTCTTTTCCAGTAATTCGACTGAAAAAAATCAGGCCAATTAATAAGCGCGACTCTGATATGAGTTTCTTAATTCGCTCGGATTAAATATTAGGCGCCAGACCGGGGGTGGCGGTTCTGCTAGTTAAAGAAAAGTAATGCAGACTTGGCCGTTCAAATTTTCCTTGTCGCTGTGGAGCAAGATGTTAGTTGAAACTGATTTTCCAACCGGTTTTCGCAAGACACCTAAACTGCTCTCTGCAAGCCTGCACAATCTCCGCGAAAAACAGCACGTTAAGTATTGTTCAGTGTTTTAGGGGTAACTGACTGCCTTTGAAAACCCTATTGGAAAGGGCAAATATAACATTAAAGCTCGACTATACATGCTTCAAAAATTTTGTCAGTAATGTGAAACACTACATAATAGTCATTAGCATTAGCAGCAAGCGTGTGCAAAGCGCTGGCTTAGTCTAGCAGAGATTTTTTGTCCAAATAGACGATGTTTATTAAGTAAATATACAATCCGATGGTGTTAAGATATCTCTGTTAAGTCTTCGTTGGGCTCATTATGGTCGGTCCCATTTATTGATTTATTTATTGACTGCCTGAATTGTGACAACTGAAGCGTATCTAAGGCTGTTAGGCAGTTTCTTGCTATCCACACAGGACGGTGGTCAACCGTAGCAATGTGGGACTGGTGATTTATATTCGGCTGTCCGGAGTGAACCGAAATACCCATCTGCCCTCATGATGACAAACTGCCGTCTATCGCATAATTTTTCAGCCGAATCTCGCCTAACTGGTCATTTGAGCTTGAAAGTGAAATATTTTGTCGTTCCTGGAAATATGATCTCGGTTTTTGATCAAGACTAGGTTGTTTGTTCTTAAAAGAAGGCCAGTCGATTTAAATTTTACTGATCGATTAGAAATTATTAATTGAATAGCCAGGCAAAGGGCTCTTTTTAGGTTTGTAAACATCCTTCACCGCGTGAGATACACATAGCTTATCTTAGTTTTTTTAAGAAAACATATCACCGTTCTGTTAAACTGCATCAAATCATCCCAGGATTTTTACCTGGCTTTTGCAAATACAAACTGATTTTCTTGAAAGCTTGAAAAATACGTTTTTATATTTCTTCCGCGATTTTAATTTGATTGTTTTTGCGACACATACTCTTTCTCGAGGTCCGCTGGAATCTTAAATGGAAAAGTCCTTGTTCTTTAAACGCCTTTCTTCAACAGCGTGAACAAAGGTTATCTTTAAAATTTGCTTGACAGCATGTTTATGTCTGAATGCATGTGTAGGGTTTGAATAAACGGTTAAAATGAACCATAAGGTGGGATTATCAGTTTGAACCACATGCTGAACAGTTCTTCCCTTACAAATACAGGTCGTATATCCAGATCAGGAGAATTTCATCTATTCCGACAACATGGCCTTCTCTCCGCCACCGTACGCGCACGCTGGATCTCCACAGAAAACTGTATGACTGTTTATTTCAGCCAGGGCGTATTATTTCACTTGTGAAATAATTTGGTAAGAAAAAACCAATAAAATATGGAACTAAAGTGCTGCTTTCTTTCTGCCTTAGACTGAGGCATACAGACACAAAAGGACGCCTTGAGTCATTGGGATTATCACGTCAGATGCACGTTGCATCGTTCTGTGCAAGCCACGCTTTCCACCTGTTACTGATAAGTCAGTTTCTGAGCGAAGGTTTTTTTAGAGTTGTACATGGAGTCAGCAAATCTTGTGCTCTCATCAAAAGACGATAATTTGCTGTTCGTGTTTCTGATTGCGGTGATAAGTGTTTAGGGTACTTCAGGATACAGGCTTGTCGTTGCTGATAAGAAGCGATATGTTTACAATCCCAACGGGGCATGTTCCTCTGTGAAAGTCAATAATTTAGTTTCAAATTAAAGCTTCCTACCATAGCGCAGCGTGTTCCATTACACCCTCAATTTATCGGGATGAACGTCAGTAGCGCTATTTACCCGAATATTAGCGATCGAGTTCTTGCCACCGAGCGATTACAACACAGTTAACTCTACCGTACATTTACTGTAACTTTATGTATTAAACTAGCTGTGTTGACCGTAGATGAATGTTTTCAGGCTGCTGATTAGTTTACAGATCAACCTCAATGCCTCGCATTCATCGCGATTCGGTTTTACGTACAGCGTCCTCCATTTGGGGTGTAGAGACTACCCATTATTTGTCAGGTCGGTAGAGTCGTTGAAGCATGAAAAACGTTGCCTGCTCATGGATGACAAAAAGTCGAAATTATGAGCTGCTACTGCTTGGAGAGGGCCAGACCACAGGAGCGGGCCTAATGAGCAGTGTATTCTGCTTCTCCGGCCTCAAAATCTTACTGTAAAAGCCCAAAAATATAAGCATACAGGACTTGCTAAGAAAAATATCAGTTTTTGCGTTTTAATGGGAGCATTGGAGAGAAGACCGTAGAACTCTTAGCATTGCCAGGTCGACTTAATCAACATACTGCAACTTACTGATACGATTAGAGTACGCATACTTTCGAAACAAAATTATATTTTCTCCTTTCCACGCCGAATGAGCTGATCTTCCAACATCGATAGTTCCTCGTTAAAATTAATCTCTCGAAATTGTGCTCTATCGAAAATCAGTGATCGCTGGTCTTTGAATCTAACATCTAATTTTTATTGATTGTTAGGTAGTTTTTTGATTTGGTTTGTAACATAAAGCGGCCATTGTGAGAACAGAATGTAGAGGTTTCCTGGTGTTTCAGTATTAGCGTTCTTCGCAAAGACAAGGTAACATTGTTGGCCATTCAATGAATGTGCTTAGTAGTAATGTAAGCATAGAACTCCAAAATTTGTTGTTAGAGCTCTACTTTGAAGGTGACAGCAGATGAACAGACCAGGAATCAGTTAACGTCAGTTACCACGATCTTCTTCTATTTATGGTGATTTCTTAGGTATTCGTTAGAATATACGTGTTTTGTGTTAACACGTCAATGTTTCTGAAAGTCGGCAGACGCACTGCACGTGCTGGCAAAAAATACCGGACATAATGGAATACAGGAATTAAAAAGAAGGAAACAGTCAACGCGCCCTGATGTAACAAATTATATACCAGATAGCGCTATATTCCGAAGGTTTCTGTTTGCTATATCTCATTTCCAAATCACCTTTCCCCTTTTATATTGAAATATTATTGGTACTCTATCTCCGTAGCGTTCTCATCCTCGTTGTTGCCTTGTTTGACCCATCCTGATGACGATTTAGTGTATACTGAATAGATAAAGCAACACAGACCTTAATGTGGTCTTCGGAGGGTTTTCTTCAGGACGGTTTGTCTTTCAGACGTCTGATTCAATATACCGGCTATTCATAGCTCGAGACCGGGCAATTAATTGCTGCACTGAATTCAGGAAAATGCCAGGCTTCCCTCGACAGGCGGCAATAGACGAGTTAGCAAACTGATCGAGGTCTTCAGCTTTCGAAGCAAATGAAAATATGAAAAAAACCTACGTAGTCAATGCCGTTTGTGTTTGTAGTGTTAACAGTACGAATGCGGGATAATTGAGGTAAACCCAGACAAATTCTGACTAATCCGTTAAAAAAATACAATAACTTTGACGGCATAATCTCCAAAACAAGTCCTGTGCAGAAAGTGTAGCTTCCTTGCCGACTGTTAGTTGTCAGCAGTATATTATGTTTTGTTCGTCAAACGAAGCGCCTCCCGACGAACTTGATAAGGACATGTTTTAACTAGTAGCTTAGTTTTATATTCTGTCAATATCTTTTAATATTAAAAGATGATTTCCCTGCCTTTACTGAGAAAAATGAGGATGAAGCACACGGTAACTGCCCCCTACACTAGGAAGCGTCACATCAGTGCAACGGCATTTTTGAACTTGAATATGGCTTCATTCACTGTGGAGATTTTCACAGCGATGTAGCATGCAACAGTACTTGTGCCCACGAAAGCCACATTCGGAGTATACCGGAAGGACACATTTTTTACTAGAGAAACTGGTTTAAGTGCCTTGTCCTGTCTGCTCAAAGTTTTTTCCCAACGTCACATTCAGCTTGGCCAAACGGAAATGTTGGGGACGAATGAAGCATCGTATTAGCAGGTCGGTTGGGCAAATAACCACTGAACACGGTCCTGGCGTCTGCAGTGACACTGGAGGATCTTCCAGGCCGGAGTTCGACAAACTTGCAAATTCATGCCGCCAAACAGGAAGAAAACGTAAGCCCACGCCGACTAAACAGGCATTCAGACAAGTGAACAAGAGCAACAAACCTGCCACCGGCGCACTCGCCGACAGAGTGAATTTACCATTAACTTTTGGTTAAAACGATTCTTGACAGCCTACATTAGGTCCTGTTTAGAAATCAGTCGACAGAGTGTGTGTTTCTAGTCTAAAGGTGCACTATACTTGATCTCTTTCCCTCTTTACTTTGATGCAAACGAACATT